TTTGAAATTTAAGGTTGCACGCGACTCTTACTTGGACTATCTGGCGAAAGAAGCTGGTGGAACTTCTTCGCAGACATCGAACCTCTACGAAGAGCTTTTAGCGCTGGAAACTGCGGAACCTTCACAGACCTCTGACTTTTACGAGGAACTACTGGCTATACAAGGTAAATTTTATGAAAACTTGGAACTCTCGATTTGTGTCAGCTAATCTCGGCTTGCCTATTAGTATGCTGGATTCTTTTTGATTGCTTTCATTAGGGGCTGCTAATTGTTGGAGCATTACAATGTAATTTCCAGTAGTCGATTTATGACTGAATCCTGCTAGAGATGATTCAAGATGTTTAGTATACAAATAAGTAGTAAACAGTCAAAAAGCGCATTTTTCTGTATTTTTCGCTAGCTTGCATTGAGCAACCGTACTGTTATACTTTCACTCCTAGTGGCAATGTTTAGAATGTGGTGGATGGCCCGACAATGAAATGGACGAAGATCGTGCATTGGCTCAAGCTTTAGCAATGAGTGAAGTGGCGTACATGGAAGAACTACAGCTTAGGTTTGGTTGCGAACCAGAAGATACTAACAATAACAACAATAATAGGAGGGGATAATGTATAAAATAGCGTAATATGCATAAATTGTGCATATATTTTTTCAAGCTAATTCAGTTTCACTCGTTTGTGGATAGTACGCTAGATGCGTGTTCGCTTGATGCTTGTGCTTTGTCATAAAATGGCTTTTATTGAAGGAACTCCTCAGACTTGTGATAAATATGTCTTAATAGTCAGCTTTCATTTATTTCACATTATTTATTATTCCCTTCTTTTGTGCGTTATTTTTATGAACGGCCTTCTTGAGCATAATAGGGCACGTGTGTGATTAGCATTATTACTTCGTTCCAGTTCTCTAATTTGTGATAGTATTATGTTACATGGAGTCATTCGATTGTACCCGGTACATTATTGATGTAACCTACTTGCTACTGTGAAATAATGCGGTCTTCTTGTCGAGATTCAATAAATGCTGCTCCATATTATTGATATTAGGACATGTACATTGTAAATGCTGCAGATATCTGAGCTGTACAGGCGATGGAATTCGAGCCACATGTTTTTAAGATCTATATGTTCACGCTCTTTATTACTTGTTGTTTCACCCTTCTTTCTCCTTTCTCAACCTTATCATCAGTATATAGGAGGAGGCAAT